TTGAAGACATTCTTAGTGATGCGATGAGAGTTACCATCGTTGTGCAAACGATTTTTGATTTCTTTCTTCTTGGCGGGGTTTAGGGGTTTGATGTTATAGAATTTTCGGCGTGGTCTGAATTCAAGCTGCATCTCAGTGTAGAGTAGAGTCCTGCGAAAGAAGGGCCCAAGAAGGGATCCAAATTCAGTTTGGATCAACTGGGGGGAGCCGGGGTTCTGCCCTCGCGTGGCTGCTTGTCTAGTCTGGGCACACCCGATTCTCTCCAACACCTGGATCCTGCGGTGCTCTGGCAGAGGCTAAGAGTCTAACTGTGCCAAGTATGCCTCTTATCTGAAACCCAGATGTCCCTCAATGAAGAATGAAGGATTGGGGTGTTGGGGGTTCGCGTTTGTGATCCAGGGGAGATCCCGATGCCTCAACTCAGGGGTTTAGGGTTTAGGGTTTAGGGTTTAGGATTTAGGGTTTAGGGCTTAGGGTTTAGGGTTTAGGGTTTAGGGTTTAGGGCCCCGAGGTCATGACGCACGGCTTCTGCGTGGCAGCCTGAGCTGCGCTGTCACCTCTTTTCTGCGGTGGGGAGGGGCTGGGGCAGGAGGGAGGGGAGCGAAGTGTGCGAGTTGCCAGAACCTATGCCCTACTGAACTTCAAGCATTACGGTTTCGGGTCTAGGCTTTGTCTACTTTAGGGTTTAGGGTTTCGGGTTTAGGGTTTAGGGTTTAGGGTTTAGGGTTTAGGGCTCAAGGTTCCCGAAGCTCTAAAGCCCCGAAGCCCTTGAACCCTGGATCCGCAGACTCAGGTGGATGAGAATGGGCGCAAGATGAGCAAGCCTGGACGGCCCAGACGGCTGTTGGGCTTCAGGGGGGGGTTTAGGGTTTTTGGGGTTTGGGGTCTAGGGTTTAGGGTTTCGGGTTTGGGGTTTCGGGTTTAGGGTTTCGGATTTTTTCGGGTTTAGGGTTTCGGGGTTTAGGGTTTAGGAGGGGGGGGGGGGGTTGGGTTTTTTTTTACTCTTGAGGTTTGAGGTTTCGGCTCAGGAGGTTTGAGGTTCTAGGATTTAGGGGCCCTTGGGGTTCCGGGTTTAGGGCTGAGTAGTGGGGCTTAGCACGGAGGTTGATGGTGTAGGGGGCAGGGGGGCAGCCTTTGCGCCCTAACCCTGAACTTAAACCCTAAACCCTAAACCCTAAACCCTAAACCCTACATCCTAAACCCTAAACCCTAAATCCCAAACCCTGAACCCTAAAGCCTAAACAACAAACCGGAAGCTCTAAGCCCTGCACCCTAAAACCCTAAACTAGGGCTTCCTTTAGGGGCTTTCCTTTAGGGGGCAGGGGTTTCCCTGAGGGGTTTAGGGTTCAGGGTTTAGGGTTTGGGGTTTACGCTGGCGCGTCTTGGCTGAAGATCCGGTTGTTTTTGCATATTGGCCCGCGTCTTGGCCTAATGTGCAGTTGCTCTGTTTATTGGAGCTCATCGGCTCAATGCGTGGTTGCCTTGCAATGACCCGAAACCCAAAGCCTGAACGCGAAACCCCCGCGACGATTTGGAACTATTGGCTGGGTGTTCTTGGTGCTTGAACCTGGGATGCTGAACCCTAAGCCCTGAACCCTAAGCCCTAAGCCGTAAACCCTAAACTCTAAACCCTAAGCCCTAAGCCCTAAGCCCTAAGCCCTAAGCCCTAAGCCCTAAGCCCTAAGCCCTAAACCCTAAACCCTTCTTTAGGGTTTGTAGGGTTTTTTGGGTTTTAGGGAACCTCCGACTGGCAGAGGTCCATTGGCAACGTCATCGATCCCCGAACCATCATCGAGGGCGGCAAGAACCTCAAACAGGACCCCTAGGGTTTAGGGTTTAGGGTTTGGGGTTTAGGGTTTAGGGATCAGGGCTTTGGGGTTTGGGGTTTGGGGTTTCTGGGCTGCGGTTAAGAATTTTCAAGGAAGTTCATTAGCCAACTGTATCAAGGAAACCATGCTGGCACCGTGCTTTTTTCTACATCTTAGTAGCTGAGCGAGTACACTTTACACTTTCTCGGATAGTAAAACCCTTCATAGAACGGAAAGTGTACACTTTTTTGGGGGGGCTTATGAACTCAGCAACTAAGACATCCATATTCTGGCAATTTACTTGAAGTTCAAAAAGACAGCAACCCACGTTTGGGTGGCGCACCAGATTCTTAGCCAAGACTTCTGCATTGCCCGGGTGGCATGTAGCGCTGGGGTTGCAGCCTTGCAGAGTGTAGGGGTTTGGGGTTGAAGGGCTTAAAGGCTTAGGGGCTTCGTGTGTTAGTGTTTAGGTGGTAGGGGTTTGAGGTATAGGGGTTTAGGGGTTTAAGGTTTAGGGGTTTAGGGTAGTGGGTTGCAATGCGCGCCCAATTCTTCTCTCAGGAGCCTGCTATGGGAGCGGATGTGCCTGGATCTGAGACTCTCACTGCCTGTCTCGAGTGTCGGTGCATGTGTTGCCCCTAAAGCTGTTGAGGCCTTAGAACCCATACGCCCTATACAGCCCTTCCCATTCCACCAAACCCTAAACCCTAAACCCTAAACCCTAAACCCTAAACCCTAAACCCTAAACCCTAAACCCTAAACCCTAAACCCTAAACCCTAAACCCTAAACCCTAAACCCTAAACCCTAAACCCTAAACCCTAAACCCTAAACCCTAAACCCTAAACCCTAAACCCTAAACCCTAAACCCTAAACCCTAAACCCTAAACCCTAAACCCTAACCCTAACCCTAAACCCTAAAAACCCTAAACCCTAAACCCTAAACCCTAAAAACCCTAAACCCTAAACCCTAAACCCTAAACCCTAAACCCTAAACCCTAAACCCTAAACCCTAAACCCTAAACCCTAAACCCTAAACCCTAAACCCTAAACCCCAAACCCTAAACCCTAAACCCTACACCCTACACCCTAAACCCTAAATCCTAAATCTAAACCCTGAACCCTCAAACAAAAAGCCGGGGGTCTGATGGTGCGCGACATGGCGCAGGCTTGGCGCAGTGACCCTTCGGACCTTTAGGTAGACTCGCGTTATAAAGGGTCCCCATTCCGGACTTTAAGCATCCGCAAGGGTTTAAAACCCCAAAACCCTAAATCCAAACCCTAAAGCCCTAAACCCCAAACCCTAAACCCTAAACCCTAAACCCTAAACCCTAAACCCTAAACCCTAAACCCTAAACCCTAAACCCTAAACCCTCTAAAGCCTGGTGCTTAGAGCTGCACCGCGGATCAGGCTCCGGTTTTGGGTGGCCTCCGTCGATTTCTCCAGCGACGTCTCGATCAGCCTGGGGGCTCTGAGGGGTTGTTTAGGGTTTAGGGTTTAGGGTTTAGGGTTTAGGGTTTAGGGTTTAGGGGTTTGTTGGGTTTAAGGCTGAGGGCTTAGGGCTAGGGCTTCGGGTTTAGGGTGTATAGGGTTTAGGTTGTAGGGTTTGGGGCATAGGGCCTAGGGCCTGGGGCTTAGGACTTACCTACTAGTTCTAACAGGCCAGGCATAGGGGTCTCTACATCATCCTTTAGGGAAGGCACAGAAGGGATAATCCATGAACCTCCATTTCTTGAGTAAATCTGCACCCCGGGCCTTATCCCTTCAAGTCGGTGTCGCCCAGGATTGTCTTTGAGACCAGCTTAGGGTTGAAGGGTTTAGGGTTTAGGGTTTAGGGTTTAGGGTTTAGGGTTTAGGAGGTCTCAGGGTTGCAGGGGTTTAGGGTTTAGGGTTTGGGGTTTAGGGAGGAAGCAAGGGTCTCAGCAAGAACAAATCTTGGGGGCCCGCTTTGGCTGCCCGCTTTGGCTGAACTTGCGGTAGCTGCCGCCAGTGTCGACTCGGCTCTACTGTAAACTCCAGCGTAGACATGATGCCATCAGCGACCAACCAATCGACCGACCTCCCGACCTACCGACCTACCTACATACACACATACACACACATACACACACACACACACATACATACATACATACATACATACATACATACATACATACATACATACATACATACATACATACATACATACATACATATATACATATATAAATATAAATATAAAAATAAATTGTGAAGTAAACAAATAAATAAATAAATATATAAATATAAATATAAATATAAATATAAATATAAATATAAATATAAATATAAATATAAATATAAATATAAATATAAATATATATATATATATATATATATCATATCATATTCTCACGCGTACATACACGACTTAGTTATGATTGCCACGCCGGTGCTCAGGCAAGAACATCCTGAAGCTGACGAACGAGAATGTGCGTAGGCTGAGGAACCGAGCCAGATTCGTGGAGCCGGCGGAAGTTGAGTCAGGGTTCAGGGTTTAGGGTTTAGGGTTTAGGGTTTAGGGTTTAGGGTTTAGGGTGTAGGGTGTAGGGTTTAGGGTGTAGGGTTTAGACACGCATGCAGGGTTCCCCTCACATACCCTCTGCTCACAGCTGGGTTCGGTGTTTTTGGGGTTTAGGCTTAGGGTTCAGACCCCGCAGGCCCGAAGCTTAAGGCCCTGTGCAAGGGCTTAAGCCCGGCTGGAAGGTCATGCGCTTTTTGGTGGCATAGGATTGTGTGCCAGCTTGTGTCCCAGGGTTAGGATTTTTGGTTTTGGGGTTTATACAAGTCTACACTTAGCAGGCTGGGGGTTTGAGAGTTGAGGGTTGAGCACATGTTGAGTGGTTTGTCAGGTTTTTGGGTTGGCTTAGAATTTAGGTTTGAGGGTTTGGGATTTAAGTTTCGGGTTTGGGTTCACTCTGGGTTGCAGGATTCCTTCGGAACTGAGTGTGTGCAGAAGGCTGCTTGCAGAAGGCTTAACAGCTACAGCCAGCCGCAGCTGATCAGACCTGGGCCCTTTGAGCCCCTTTTGAGTCGCTTTTGCAGCTCAGAGCTAGGGTTTAGGGTTTAGGGTTTAGGGTTTAGGGTTTAGGGTTTAGGGTTTAGGGTCTATACGCGACAGGTGTGCCCATCCGGTGCGCAAACTGGTGATTTCGCTTCTTTGTCGCGATCGATGCTCCGTGTCTGGATGGCGTCCGGGAAGTTGCTGGCCGAAGTGGCTGCGGAGGAAGTTGGTGACGTGGGGGGCTTGAAGAACCGTTTGCGCGAGCTGTATGGTTATCCGGCATGTGCCCAGCAGATCCTGCATGCCGGGGCTTACTTGGATGATGCCGCCAGTCTGAGCACTGTCCTTGAGGTGCAGATGGTGGTGCTGCCTGTCTGGACCACTGCCGGCAAGCACAAGTTTGCAAGCGAGTTGGTTGATCACACTGTAAGAGACGGCCACGTTGAGGTTCTGCGTTCGTTGTTGCAAGCTCGCGCGGACAAGGACTCGAAGAACGCTTTTGGGGACACGGCCCTGATATGTGCATCCCGTCAGGGGCATGTGGAAATAGCGCGCTCGCTGCTTGAAGCCGGGACCAACATGGACCTGCAGAACTTTGATGGCGAGACTGCTCTCCTGTGCGCATCTGGCAAAGGGCACATTGAGGTTGTGCGCCTGCTGCTGGCCGAAGGGGCCAGCAAGGACCTGACAAATGGTGAGGGCACGACGGCCCTGACTCGTGCTGCTGGCAAAGGTCACTTTGGGGTTGTGCGTCTGCTCCTAGAAGCTTTGCCATGGTTGGGTAACATTTGCATGTTTAAGTGCACTTAAATTAACCCCAATAAGGGATAGAAATTTAATTTTTTCGTACTTTCCCAACCATGAATCAGGAAGCAGGTGCTGGCAAGGCCTGTCAGAATCATCAGGGCGACGCAGCCCTTCAACGCGCCTCGGGCCAAGGCCATGTTGCGATTGTACGATTGCTGGAAGAGGTGGCCGCACCACCCTTGCAGAATGGCGATGCCTTGGGAACCACATGAGCCCTAAAATTGGGGGGCCTATTCCCTATACTACTATAACTCCAATTAAGGTATATGAGCCATAAACCCTTTTAGGGTTCACGTCGTCCCCAGGGATGGTGCGACTTCGTTGATGCAGGCATGCTTCGAAGCCCCGCGCGAAGACTGTGCCGTTGCTGTTGGGATCGGGTGCTGATACGCAGTTGCAAGACTCTCGCCGCAACATGGGCTTCGAAAAGAGGGCATGCTGAGATCGTGTCTTCCCTAAACCCTAAGCCCTAAACCCCAAACCCTAAATCAAATCCTAAACCCACCCCCCTACGCCACTTAAGGGTCTTGTGCTCGTGCTGCCGCTGAAGGCATCATGGGGGGTTCTCTAAACCATGGTCCCGCTTAGGGTTCCGACTACCCTACGGAGCCTTAAGCCCTAAACCCTGAACCCCGACCCCCGAAAAAGAGACCTGTAGTGTTTGGGCCCGAAGACTGCGAACCTTGGCAGATCCTGGGCAACATCCACGATTTCGACCCGTCGAGTCCCGTGCCGTATGACGAGCTGCCTGTGCGCCTCGGGCAGCAACGAGGTGGGTTTAGGGTTTAGGGTTTAGGGTGTTAGGGCTTGGGGCCCCACAAACTGCCCCCCCAACCCTAAACTCAAAGGCCCCTATCAGCCCTAAACCCTAAGCCCTAAGCTCCCTAAACCCCCTAAGCCCTAAGCTTAAACCCCCTAAGCCCCAAATCCTGAAACCCCCTAAGCCCTAAATCCCAAAACCCTAAGCCCTCAACGCTGGGCTGTGGGTGGCGGCAACTTGGGGTTAGGGCTTATAAGGGCTTAGGGCTTAGGGCTTAGGGCTTGGGGCTTAGGGCTTAGGGCTTAGGGCTAGCCCTGGGGGCTTAGGGTTTAGGGTTTAGGGCCCTGAACACTGCACCGAACACCCCGAACTTCGCACTCCTAATTCCTTGAGAACCTAAACCGCTAAACCCTACACCCAATTTCCTAAACTTTGGCCGGTCAACCTCAGACTCGAAACGCTAAACCCTAAACCCTAAACCCTAGACCCTAAACCATAAACCCTAGCCCGAAACCCTCACGGGTTTGGATTTGCCGCCTTGCCTTTGGCATCTGGTTGCTCAGTAAGAAGGATGCATCACGGAGGAAGTTGATGACACCCTCATCAGGCTTCCTGGTCGGATTCCGAGACACTATAATTCTAAACAGCGAAGCCCGGCTGTCGGCCAGAATGGTGATCCTTGCGTCGAGAATGCTGCGTGCTTCAGAGACTCAGCCATACAGGAGTCGGCGCTGGAGACATTTCTGCGCGGGAAGTCGCTTCCTGCATGGCGCGCACGCGCGCCACCGGTGATCAAATTGTCAGCGCGCGAAGTGTCATCACTGCCCAAGAACTCATATTCGCCAGAATCCGATTTTTGGCATATTGGCCCAACGGCCGCGCTTCCATGTTGGTGTGTCCAAACCTCGTCGTGCAACCGGCTCCAGAGTCAGGGTGATGACGGGTGGCGCAGGAACAAGGGCGGCGTGGGAGCCTGACAGATCCCGCAGAGGCCAAAGACTTGGCGTGCCCTTTTGATACCGGCAGCTATGTTAGTTGTAACTTTTTGTAATACCTGTATTCTTGTTTTTCTCGCTTACTGGTGACTTTCGAGCTTTCGGAGGCTGGAATTCCCTGCCACGAGAATGCCTTCCCCTAGGGTTTAGGGTTTAGGGTTTGGGGTTTAGGGCTTAGGGTTTAGGGTTTAGGGTGGCAGGGACCCAGCCCCCAAGACGGAGCTGATTGCTGAGAGAAGGCCGAGGACGACGTCGGAAGACGCCCTCACTGGAACTTCAATCAGACAAGTTTAGGGTTTAGGGTTTAGGGTTTGGGGTTTAGGGTTTAGGGTTTAGGGTTTAGGCTTAGGGTTTAGGGCCGTTTAGCGCGGGAAAGGTGATTGTCAACAAATCGCATGAGTCCTCAAGGCACTGCCAGTAATTGTAAGTGGTATACTGCTAGAGTGCGCGCACCTGGAGAACCCCTAAATCCCTAAACCCCCTAAACCTCTTAAACCCCTAAAGCTCTAAAGCCCGAAGCACTACACCTCTAAACAGTCCGAAGCTCCACCCTAACCCCCAACTGAACTCCGAGACCGAAGCCCTCTACGCTACACCCTGACCCCTTAAAACCCCTCAACCCCTAAACCCTGAAACCCCTAAACCCTTTAAACCCTTAAACCCTTAAACCCTTGACCCGTTAAACCCTTAAACCCTTAAACCCTTAAACCCCTAAACCCTTTAAACCCTTAAACCCTTAAACCCTTAAACCCTTAAACCCCTGAACCCTTTAAACCCTTAAACCCTTTAAACCCTTAAACCCTTAAACCCTTAAATCCCTAAACCCTTAAACCCTTTAAACCCTTAAACCCTTAAACCCTTAAACCCTTAAACCCTTAAACCCTTAAACCCCTAAACCCTTTAAACCCTTAAACTCTTAAACCCTTAAACCCCTAAACCCTTAAACCCTTAAACCCCTAAAACCTTAAACCCTTAAACCCTTAAACCCTTAAACCCCTAAAACCCTTAAACCCATAAACCCTTAAACCCCTACTCCCCTAAATCCCAAACCCGAAACCCGAAACCCTAAACCCTAAACCCTAAACCCTAAACCCTAAACCCGAAACCCTTAAACCCCAACTAAGCCGTGCTCCGCCAAGGATCGACAAGTTCATCATCCACCGGGCTGAGGTCTGCCGCCCCTCCCGCCACCAACCCCCAGAAAGGGCGCTGCTTTTGGGGTCCCAGGGTTTTAGGGGCGTTTTTTTAGGGTTTTTTTGGCGTTTTCGGGTTTGGGGGTGTTTGGGGTGTAGGGTTTTTTTTGGTTTTCAGTTTCTAGGGTGTTTGGTTTTTTAGGAGTCTTAGGGCTTTCGAGGTTTTCGGGGCTTGCGGCTTAGGGGGATTTCGGGTTGAGGCTTGCGGGCCCCAAGATCCTAGGGTTTAGGGTTTAGGGTTGAAGGGTTTAGGGTTTAGGGTTTAGGGTTTAGGGTTTAGGGTTTAGGGTTTAGGGTTTAGGGTTGAAGGTTTAGGGTTTGGGGTTTCGGGGACCCCAGAACCTTCCGAGACCACCCACAGTGCAGGCGGTCTTCCAGCAGATGAGGGAGGCCCCGCTTCTGGGACGTTCCGTACTTGAAGGTTTGGGGTTTAGGGTTTAGGGTTTAGGGTTTAGGGTTTACTGGCAGCTAGAAACTTGTTGCGGCCCTGCTTAAGGTACAAGAAAAAGCCCCAAAAGAACCCGCCTATATCTACTCATCAAACTACACCCTAAACCCTAAACCCCAAACCCTAAACCCTAAACCCTAAACCCTAAACCCTAAACCCTAAACCCTAAACCCTAAACCCTAAACCCGAAACCCTAAACCCTAAACCCCCCTTAAGAGTAGCTCCTAGGGCCGGCTGGTTCAAGGCGATGGTTGAGCTTAGGGTTAGGGGCCTTCCGCCGCGCGTACATGTTCCAAGGGTTTAGGGGCTGCGGCTTTAGGGTTTGGGCACGAAAGCATACCCCTATAGTATATTGCATAGGGGGGCCTTTCTGCCCGCAACCCTAAACCCAAAAGCCTCACATCTCGGGCGCCCGAAGCAACAATCCTAGACCCTAAACCCTAAACCCTAAACCCTAAATCCTAGCATCTGGGGGACGCCGCCGCGAGGCGTACGACAGCTACGCCTTCAGCACCGCCACGAAGGCCTTGGATAGGCGCGCGCCGATTGGTTTAGGGTTTAGGGTTTAGGGGTTTTTGATTCTAAGCCCTTTCTAAGCCCTAAATCCTAAGCCTTCGAGAACTTAAGCTTTTAAGCCCTAAATGGTCTTTGGCTTAGGGTTTGGGGTTAAGGAGGTTCTACTTCGAATCCTAGGCTGCGACCTGGTTTAGCGCGACAGCATGTCCCAGCCCACCCGGAAACATAGTGGAATACCTAACGGTGGCTACTTGGAGGTTTATGGGTACGTAGACCCCTAACAAAAGCCCCTAAGACCCCCAAGTAGGTTATAAGTAGACTTATAATTGGGGCCCATGCACCTCCAAGTATTGGCTGGTGTTATTTATGGGGTTTGCAGGGTTTCAGTTGGTTTTATGCGTTTCAGTATGGTTGTCGGGTAAGGGAGTATAGGCAGCATAGTCGTCAGGTCTCCACATGTAGGTTTCGGTTTGACCCGAAACCCGAAACCCTAAACCCTAAACCCTAAACCCTAAACCCTAAGCCCTAAGCAATGAATCCCAGACCCTACACCCTAAACCCTGGACCACGAGCTGTCCTGTCAGAGGTTCACCTCGGCGGACCTGTCCTCGCTGTCGCTTGGCTGTACCGCAATCTTTATAGCCTTTAGGGTTTAGGGTTGACGGTTTTGGGTTGAGCCTAACTCAAAACCTAAGGCTGCCCTTAGAAGTGGGTCAAGAACGGAACGTGAACATAGAGTCTGGCACTGAACTGGGGGAAAAAACCTAAGGCTCAAACCCAAAACCCCTTGCCCTAAACTCTCAATTTCCCCAAAATTAGCCCTAATGGACATACGCACCATGCAGCGCCTCGGGCGGCAATCTTAGGGGTGTAAACCCTAGACCCTTCATATTGCTTGGTGGTCTCTTTAAGTAGGCTTTCTTTGTTTTTCTAGGGGGTTCTGATTCTACAGGGGCTAGACTACAAGTATAAGGGTAGCAGATAAAGAGACCACCGGCCTTTATCACCTAAACCCCAAGCCCGACTCCTGGAACCCGACGATTTTTTCTCCGCTGAGGTACCTGGATCTGGCAAAAGACCGGTGCTGGGCT